CAGCCAACTCCTTACTACAGAAAATAAATCTGGTTCGTGTCTCCCAGTGTCATGGCCCCAGAAACATTTCTGAGCAGGTTGATCAGGCTCTTTCCCGCGTGGCTCAGGTGCCTGGGTCTGAAAGGTCCTTCCCCTGTCAGTCTACCCGGTGAATCTTACTCATCTTTCAAGACACAGCTCGTGTTCCCTCCCAATTAAAACAGACGGCTGTCTCTTTGGGGACTACTCCACAAGCCATGTGTTATTCCATCATAGGAGTTTTAGCAAATATTCAACTTATCATTTACAGGTCTCTCTCCCAAGACTAGATTACTGTAAGCTCCATTTCTGAATTACATAGGGACAACTATGGAATTATTTGCACAGCCTCAGCATATCAGACATTGTTTAGATGCCTGCCCCTTCGCTCCCCCATCTACCCCCCAAGTCCCTACTGAGCTGTGACGTCTTGACATGAGATTCCGTCATGAAAGATACAGGTGGCTGGACAAGCTGGTTCCCCAGACCAAAGGCTGATGGATATAAAGAGGTAATTACTATGAAGAGTAAGAGTAACATTGATGTGGAACACTAGGACACTGGAGCCCAAGCTCCTGCTGCTTAGGTCTGGGAGCTCCCTTGGATCTTGCCCTAAATAACAAGGTCAGAGATACAGCATGTGTCTACATATTGACTAGGTACTTAATTTTCTTTGTAATTATAGAAAAAACAAACAAAAACAAAACAAAACAAAACAAAACCCATGACCCCAACTCCAACAAAGAAGCAAATTAAAAACTGTTCCAAATTACTTTTAATCATTTCCCACTGGATAAGTACATACCTGGCTAATTAACAAATTATACCACTCACAGGACAATAAGCCACTCTATTAAAAGCCTTTGAATTTTTGAACAATTGATTTTCTTATTAAAGTCTCTTCTGGAATTAGGATTGCTCTGCCAGTCTTGGGAAATAGCCTTTGGATGCTATGTGATCTCAACATCACTATATTAGACATCAACTTAGAGGGGAAAAATAGGTGGCACTTAACCATTATGTTGTGCATTTGAACTTCTTTGCAAAAACTTTCTATACATACAAAGATATACACTTTTATTACATTATATATATGCTTTTTTTTTTTTTTGAGATGGAGTCTCACACTGTCACCCAGGCTGGAGTGTAATGGTGTGATCTCTGCTCACTGCAACCTCAACCTCCTGGGTTCAAGCGATTCTCCTGCCTCAGCCTCCTCAGCAGCTGGGATTACAGGTGCCCGCCACCACGCCCAGCTAATTTTTTGTATTTTTAGTAGAGACAGGGTTTCACTATGATGACCAGGCTGGCCTTGAACTCTTGACCTTGTGATCTGCCCACCTTGGCCTCCTAAAGTGCTGGGATTACAGGCATGCGTTACCGTATCCAGCCATATATATGCTCTTTTGCAACCTGCAGTATGCTGTAACATCTTCCCACGTTAATAAAGGTTGGGCCGGATGCAGTGGCTCATGCCTGTAATTTCAGCACTTTAGGAGGCCGAGGCGGGCAGATCAGCTGAGGTCAGGAGTTCGAGACCAGTCTGGTCAACACAGTGAAACCCCATCTCTACTAAAAGTACAAAAAAATTAGCTGGTTGTAGTGGCACATGCCTGTAATCTCAGCTATTCAGGAGGCTGAGGCAGAAGAATTGCTCGAACCTGGGAGGTGGAGGTTGCAGTGAGCTGAGATCGCTCCACTGCACTCCCGTCTGGGCAACAGAGTGAGACACTGTCTCAAAAAAAAATGAAAAACTAAAAAAAGTCAAACTTTCAGTTTCTGCATAGTATTCTATTGGATTTCTGTACATCAAGGCCTTTAAAAATATTATTGAAAATGGATATATAATTTACATACAGTAAAATGCACAAATATTAAATGTTACAACTCAATGTTTTTTGCCTTGCCTATGTACACATCAAAATAACCACCCCCCAGAACAAGATACAGAACATTTTCAACACCCAAAAAAGTTCCAACATGCTCCATCCCAGACAAAACCCCACAGAACCACATAGGTTACTACTATTCTGACTTCTAGCACCATATATTAGTGTTAACTATTCTTGAAATTCATATAAATGGATCCAGATAATATGTATTCATTTGTGCCTGCTTTTTTTTTTTTTGCATGATGTTGTTAATAATCATCTTTATTGTTATATCAGTTCAAACCGTTTCAGTGCTGTGTAGTAATTTCATTGTATGAATCTACCATTATTTATAAATTCTCTTACTGATGAAAATTGGGGTTGTTTCCAGTTTTTTGCTATTAAGGATAAAGTTTTTATGAACATTCTTTTACAAGTCTTTTAAAGCAAACATATAAGCACTTTTCTCTTGAGTATATGGCTATAGATAGAGTGGCTGGGTCTTAAGGTAGAGATATACTTATCTTTATTAGAAACTCCCAAACTGTTTTCCTTTTTTTCCTAAAAGGTGTTTTTAGTCCTTATAATATTAACCTTTCTGGTAGGTATGTACTGGCATTTACTGTGGCTTAAACTTGCCTTTCCTGAATAAGTAATGCTGTTGAATTCCTTTTCATATTCTTTTGGCCATTTGAATTATTTTGTGTGTGAAGTATCTGTTCAAGTCTTTTGCCCATTTTTAGTCAGTTTTTTGGGATTTTTTCTTATAGTTTACAGGAGTAATACACACTTTGTCAGATATGTGTCAATGGTGTCTTTTCTGAGAAGTTTTAAGTTTTGATAAAGTCCATTTATCAACGTTTCCTTTTATGGCTAGTGTTTTCTGGGTTACAAGAAACCTACGCCTACCCCAAAGTCCTGAAAACATTCTCTCTTATTCTCTTCTAAATGCATTAAGGTTTTAGCTTTGACATTTTGGCCTAAGATCCATCTCAAATTATTTCTATATGGCATAAGGTAGGGACCAAGGTTATTTTTTCCCATATGGATAGCTATTAAAATTTTACTTTTCAACAGAATACATTTTATAATTCTCTTATGTGTTTTTGTTCCTGACAACAGTTTAAAATATACCTTTAAATATTAATCTAAGTGAGGCTGGATCCCCGCCCTTTGGTAGGCCAAGGCGGACAGATCCCATGAGGCCAGGAGTTCCAGACCAGCCTGGCCGACATGGCAAAACCCTGTCTACTAAAAATTCAAAAATTAGCCAGGCATGATGGCACAGTCCTGTAATCCCAGCTACTTGGGAGGCTGAGGGATGAAAATCACTTGAACCCGGGAGGTGGAGGTTGCAGTGAGCCGAGATTGTGCCACAGCACTCCAGTCTGGGTGACAGAGTGAGACTCTGTCTCAAAAAAAAAAATTAATCTAAGTGATATCAGGCTTATAGATTTCTCAATATATAATTTTATACCATAATACTAATATTTTAAAAAATATTATCAAAGGTAGGACAATTACGTAGTAAAAATAATATTCCAGACAAGTGAGTTTTACTTCGAACTTCAACAAAAGGCAGTTTATTTATAAATTCACTTGTCTTTAGTAATGCATGGTCTTTGTAGAAAATTCATAAATTACTTTTTTACTATAATTTTAAAAATTATTTTCTATAGCAGTTGTTGAAATTTTATAATGAAATTGCACCTTTTGTCTTTGGCAAACAGCCATGGATAGTAAAGTTTTAGGTTATGTATGATTTGACAAGAAGGATTCCATTTGACTAGAGCTGAATTTTCAAGTGGAAATACTACAATTGCCTTTAAGTATTTGCAGGTCTACAGTGTTTCATGTTGTATCTCTTAGTGCTATCCATCTATAATGGACATGATCACAGGATAAGTCTAAAAGAAGAGTAACTTGGCTGAGCATTCGCTATGTCATTGAGCTAGATGTCTCTATTACATGAATCTCACATAATCCTCACAACCACCCTTCCCCCACCTCTGTTTTATAGACAAGTGAGCCTGGAGTCAATGGCATTAAAGATTTCCCAAAGTCTATGGCTAGTACGGGATAGAGGTGGGGCTGTCAAGAAAACCTGTCTGATTTCAAAACCCAAGCTCTTTTCTCTATATAGAACTACCTTATTCTCTAGGAGAAAAACGGTTAACAAAAGGCAAATTACATATTTTACGACATTCACTAGTAAATTACTTGTTAATAAATCAACGCAGCAACATATTTTTCTGGATGTTTTTCTCAGGACTATGCCAGACACTGTAAAAGATACTTAAGCATGAACCTTTGCCATAAAGGAATCTACAGCCTAGCTGAGGAGACACAGTTAACATGCACGCGTCAATTAGTGAACATAACTAAATAGTTAAGATTAATTGTTAAAGTAGGATTTAGAAACCATTGATGTTGAATAAATTTTTTAAATGAGTAACTGTGTTGGAGCACAGCAAATTGACTTTTAGGTGGGACTGCATTATGAAGGGTCTTGAAAGACGAAAACTGAGTAAAATTGAGTTTAAGCCCTTGAAGGTTTTTGATTTGGCATAAAGAAAGAGGTATTTAAGAAAGTTTTGGCTGGGCGAGGTGGCTCACACCGGCAATCCAGCACTTTGGGAGGCCAAGGTGGGTGGATCACCTGAAGTCAGGAGTTTGAGACCAGCCTGGCCAACATGGTGAAACCCCATCTCTACTAAAAATACAAAAATTAGCTGGGTGTGGTGGCGCACAACTGTCTGTAGTCCCAGCTACTCAGGGGGCTGAACCCAGGAGACAGAGGTTGCAGTGAGCCAAGATCGCACCACTGCACTCCGGCCTGGGCAACAGAGCAAGACTCTGTCTCAAAAAAAACAAAAAAGCAAACAAACAAACAAAAAAACCACCCAATAATAATAATAAAATAAAACAAAAAAAGAAAAAGAAAAGAAAGTTTTGTTTAGCAGAAAAAATCAGGTTATCTCTGAGTAGAGTGTGAGCAATGAGCCATGAAAAAAGTATTTCATAAAATTCTACTAGTAGAACAAGGACCTGAATGAAGGTGGTGGCAGTAAGAAACTTGGAAAACAAATGATATATTACAAAGACTAAAACTGCTCTCCAATAGTATATTGTTCACTATAAATCAGATACTATAGAAATAAGAAATACAAAAAAATATTTAGCCACTAGCATGCTTCCCAATGACATGGAAATTCTAGATCTAATAGTTTCAGGAAATGGATTAATCTTGATATAAGACAGCTGCTCACCCCTGTGAAAATTAAACACACTTTAAAAGCTCTCTTCCTTTTTTATTATCTCTGAAAAAAAAGTTTTCTAGGAAAAAAGGAAAAGAGAGTACCATATTTTTCATAATCTCTGTAATGCAAGTGCCAAGCACATGTGGTTTATACCTGTTTTATAACATGTGGATTCTGCCAATCATCTTTAGTTTATCAAAACTATTTTTTATAAAGGGGTGTAGAGTATCATTTTCCTGAATTATTATTAGACTAGGCCACGTGTGGAAATAACTCTCTTCTTTCCAAATCTTTTATGTAAGTGCATTATTATAAGGACATATGCCCACAGAGTAAGCACACAGTAAACGTTTCTTGATTAGATGACTTGGAACGTAAACCAATAACCATAATTTATATGGTAATTAATTCAGACCAATGGAGAGGATTATGAAACCAAAACACAGGAAATAATTGAGGAGAATCTTCTTCTTAGAGATTAACTTTGATTCCAATAGCTTGTTTAAATTCATGGTTTTGTGGTTCCAAGATGTCATAGAAAACTTGTTTTTTGTCAAAATGGTCTCTAATGTAAAGTAAATCTTCAATGGAATAGTTATCATTTTTTCCAGTCCAAATAGTCAGGCTGTACCTGCATTGAAATAAAACAGAATTATATAGTTAAAAGTGGAAGAAAGTGATGACTCATTCCAATAAGCCTAAAAATACTTTCATTTATCTCTAACTCAAATTCACTCAGACGAAAAAATTAATCAGCAACGGTGTAACTGTACTTTCATATTCCATTCTTTCATGAAGAGGGACTAGAGACAAAAAACATTCATACTGCTGTTGTCTAAATGACATAACTGCTCTATCTGAATTGCAAGAATGTTAAATGGACTAAGAAACCAGACGGGTGGCATGGGAAATGGGTCTAATTTTGGAAAAAGGAATAGAAGAGATTGTGTTGCTGATGGAGGAATCTGTAACCTGGGTTTGTTCAGGAGCCTCGTCAGAGTGAAAAGCACAATGGGAAGGGATTGTGAAGAGACACAAATGTCACTGATATCTACAACACTCAGAGTCATGTATGGAGGCCCTGCTGTTTCTTTTGGAGGTTTTTGTATGAGATACAAGAATGCCAAGAGATACCACTAAGAATGACAAATAGAATACATTTAGATCTTTATCTGATGAGCTGAAAACCAACAACCTATGTAAATTCATTATGGATGTAAGAATATGCTCAGAATGTTCATGTTACTTAAACTGTATACTTTCATTTCTTCTGGTGACACTACTACTGTTGCATTCAAGTCTAGGGAAATGCAAAGCTGTTAAGCAGTTTCATATTTATATTCCCTGTAAGCTTGTCAGAATCCAGGGAAAAATTTCCAAAGCATTTTTTCTGCTAATGATAAGGAAGAACTGCCTAACCAAGGCATATTTTCCTGTCATATTGACATATTCCTGCCCTTATAGGATGGTGACACCATTCTGGAAATGCAACAGAGGAAAGCAATTTGGATATTGCCCCACAGCAGTATCATATTACAAACCAAAAAGAATTTTAAACTATAGCTCAGGGACACAGAAAATGAAAAATGAAAATTAGTTCTGAAACCTACATTTTTTGCTAAAATGGAATCTTTATTACTTTATCTGGGCACCACGGTGACAAATCTTATGAAAAGACATGGTTATGATCATTTAGGTAAAAAGAAGAGCTTCCCAGTATTATTTTGCCTCTTTTAATATTCACTTAATTCTATTTAGACTGAAATGGAAAAACCATTGCCTGAGGGTATCTTAAATTGTATTCATTGATATTAATTCTCAAACTTCATTTTTTAACCTTCTTTATTGTGAAATAACACACATAGAAAAAAGTACATAAAACATAAATATAAATTTTATCAGATTATTATAAAGTGAACTCCAGTGCAAATAGAACATGACCAGCAGTTGAGGAAGCACCTTGGTGTTACTGCTCTATCACAATCTCCTCTCCTTTCAAGTCTCCATGATCTTTAAGATTGTTAAGTATATGACAGAGAAGGAAACAGGAACTATTACAGAGTGAAGTAGGCTGAGGAGATGTGATAACTATAATTCAATGCATGTTCTTGGAGGGTTTTCCGGATCAGAAGAGGAAAAGAGGTATTGTTGCAATGGTTGGCAGAATCTGAATGGTGTCTGTGGACTGGATGGTACTGTTGTACCAATGCTGACTTCCTGACTGGGAGGCTGCATGATGGTAATACAGAAGCTGTCCTTCGGGGTGGTATCCTCTGGAGTACTTACGGATAACGAGGCTCATGCAGAAAAACATAAACAGAAAATTATATATGTATAGAGAAATAATGGACAAATGCAGGAAAATGTTCACAATTGGGGAATCTGGGTGAAGGAAATGTGGTAGTTTTTGCAACTTTTCTGTAAATTTAAAACTTTTGAAAAATAATCATAAATCACTCCTAGAAAAGACAGTAAAAAAAAAAGAAAAAAATAAAAGGCAGGGCGCGGTGTCTCATGCCTGTAATCCCAGCACTTTGGGAGGCCGAGGCGGGCCAATTGCCTGAGCTCAGGGGCTTGAGACCACCCTGGGTAACACGGTGAAACCAAGTCTCTACTAAAACACAAAAAATTAGCTGGGCGTGGTGGCGCGTGCCTGTAGTCCCATTAACTTGGGAGGCTGAGGCACGGGAATCGCTTGAGACTTGGAGGTGGAGGTTCCAGTGAGCCGAGATAGTGCCACTGCACTCCAGCTTGGGCTACAGAGTTAGACTCTGTCTCAAAAAAAGAAAACAAACAAACAAACAAACAAAAAAACAGTAAAAAACCAAAACTCCATTAAGTTACTTTTCAAATAAAGGATAAAGCAAAGTTATTCAAAGCAAACAAAAAGAAAATGTGAATTGAGGTTAAAAAAAATCATTAAATAAGACCAAGAACACCATGGTAAAGGTATAATTCTTAATGAAGAGAAAATAGATATGAATGTGTACACAACATATAGCATATCATAAACATTTAAAAAGCAAAAACTATGAAGGTAGATGAGGAAATAGACAAAAATACTTTAAGAGTTAGAGATGACATATATTTGTACATATGAAAACATTTATAATAAGGTTATTCATGAAAACAATGTAATATAAAACATTAGAAATAGGCCAAATGCCCATCAAAATGAGGCTTGTCAAGTCAATTATAGTACATACATACATATCATGCACCTAGGAAAGAAAATCAAGAAAGTTTACTTCAGAAAGAGCTCCACGATGTATTGTTAAGTTAAAAAAAAAAAAAAAGAGGAAGGAAAAGAAAAAAAAAGCAAAGAAAAGAACAGAATCAAGAAGCAAGGTGTATGACATACTATCTTTTGTTTTAAAAATGAGGGGGGCCAGGCGGGGTGGCCCACGCCTGTAATCCCAGCAGTTTGGGAGGCTGAGGTAGTGGACCACTTGAGGTCAGGCAATCAAGACCAGCCTGGCCAATGTGGCGAAACCTTGTCTCCACTAAAGATAAAAAAAAAAATAGCTGGGTATGGTGGCAGGTGCCTGTAAACCCAGCTCCTAGGGAGGCTGAGACATGAGAATCACTTGAACCCAGGAAGCAGAGGTTGCAGTGAGCCAAGATCCTGCCACTGCACTCCAGTCTGGGCAACAGAGCAAGACTCCATCTCAAATAAATAAATAAGTAAATAAATAAAATAGGCTGAGTGTGGTGGCTCACGCCTGTAATCTCAGGACTTTGGGAGGCAGAGGTGGGTGGATCATGAAGTCAAGAGATCAAGACCATCCTGGCCAACATGGTGAAACCCTGTCTCCACTAAAAATACAAAAAATTAGCTGAATATGGTGGCGCCCACCTGTAGTCCCAGCTACTCGGGAGGCTGAGGCAGGAGAATCACTTGAATCTGGGAGATAGAGGTTGCAATGACCCAAGATTGCACCACTGAACTCCAGTCTGGTGACAGAGTGAGATTCCGTCTCAAAAACAAAACAAACAAAACAAAACAAAAAAATGGCCGGGCACGGTGGCTCAAGCCTGTAATCCCAGCACTTTGGGAGGCTGAGACGGGCGGATCATGAGGTCAGGAGATCGAGACCATCCTGGCTAACGTGGTGAAACCCCGTCTCTACTAAAAAAATACAAAAAACTAGCCGGGCGAGGTGGCGGGCGCCTGTAGTCCCAGCTAGAGATCTGGCCACTGCACTCCAGCCTGGGCAACAGAGCGAGACTCCATCTCAAAAAAAAAAAAATTAATAATAAAGATAAAAGTAAAAAGGAGGGGAAATTAAGAAGTTATATTTACACTTACTCTTATATGTATAAAGAAACTAACTATTGTAGTTAGTGACATTGGGCAGGAAGACTGGGTGGATGAGAGAAAGGCTTTTCACAGTGTAAGTCTTTATTCCATTAAGCTTTTGAATTAATTTTTTTGTTTGAAAAATTAAATTTAAAATACTTTTAAAAGAAAAAAAGTAACACACAAAACACTTAAATAAAATAACATTAATAATGTTTTATTAATGTATGACAGAAACTGGTACTTTTACTCCAATAACCATTCTCCTTTTTCTTTCTAACAAACTCCTGAATTCTAACCAGACACAAGGTTGTACAAAATAAAATCTACATTTCCCAGCTTTACCTGTAACTAAGTACAGGTACATAACTGAGTTATAGCCAATGTGTTATTACAGGAAGACATGTAACATGAGTAAAACTGCAGAATAGGAGCTTTTATCCCTTGTCTACCCTACTGAAACACTGATTTTTTTTTTCTTTTCTTTTTTTTTTTTTTGAGACAGAGTCTCGCTTTGTCACCCAGGCTGGAGTGCAGTGGCACAATCTCGGCTCACTGCAAGCTCCATCTCCCAGGTTCACGCCATTCTCCTGCCTCAGCCTCCCAAGTAGCTGGGACTACAGGCGCCCACAGCCACCGCCCGGCTAATTTTTTTTGTATTCTTTTTAGTAGAGACGGGGTTTCACCATGTTAGCCAGGATGGTCTTGATCTCCTGACCTTGTGATCCACCCGCCTCAGCCTCCCAAAGTGCTGGGATTACACGCATGAGCCACTGTGCCTGGCCGAAACACTGATTTTGACAACAACTCATGGTTAAAAGTACCTTTGTGGGAACCCAGGAGTCCAGTGGAAAGACTCCGCTACTACATTGGAGTGTACACACACACAAAATCTGGAATAGACACATTGAGGAAGGTAAAACTTTTCACTTTACCCACATTACCCCTCCTCTAAGGCAGGACAGTTCAGTGCCAACAAAGATCTCCTTGGCCTGTGTGTTCTCCTACGAGGAAACGTAAGAGTGAAGTAAGCACCTAGCTTCACTACCCATGTGGGATGCTGCTCTTCCTCTCACCCCACCCAGAACGCTGAAGGGATCAGCAAGGTTGATTAGTCCAGGAGCAACAGGAATTGGAAAATGGGCAGAGGCTCACTTACTTTTAATTTTAGTGGGTAGATAGTAGGTATATATATTTACGGGGTACATGAGATTTTTGATACAGGCATGTACTACGTAATGATCACTTGAAAAACGGGGTTCCCATCCCCTCAGATATTTATCCTTTGTGTTACAAACAGTTCAATTATACTCTTTTAGTTATGTTTACAT